CTTGACTTAAACAGGACTCTAGAACAAATGGGTTTAACAGACATTTACAAAACATTTTATTCAAAAATATTAAATGTACATTCTTCCCACCAGCACATGGACCATTCTCCAAGACTGATCATATCTTATGCCACAAAATATGTGTCTACAAAAACAGAAATATGTGTCAAAATATGTGTCAAAAAAACAGAAATCATACCATGTATCTTCTCAGACTACAATGGAAAAAAACTAGAAATCAACTCCAAGAGAAACACTGAATTCTACTCAGAGTCATGGAAATTGAACAACCTGCTGCTGAATGATTATTGGGTGAATAATAAAATTAAGATGAAAATAAAAAGATTCCTCAAACTTAATGAAAAAGGGGACACAGGTACCAAAATCTATGGGATTCAGCAAAAGCAATCCTAAGGGGAAAATTCACAACCTTAAATGCCTACATCAAAAATACAGAAAGATCACAAATTAACAATCTAGTAACACATCTCAAAGAACTAGAAAAAAAAGAAGACATCAAACCCAATGCCAGCAGAAGAAAAGAAATAACTAAGATCAGAGCAGAACTAAATGCAATCAAAAACACAAAAATAATAAGAGCAATGAAACACAAGTTGGCTCTTTGAAAAGATAAACAAAATCAATAGACCACTTGCTAGATTAACCAGGAGTAGGAGAGAGGGGACCCTAATAAACTCAATCAGAAATGAAAAAGGAGATATTACAACTGATACCTCAAAAACACAAAATATCATCTCTGAATACTATGAAAATCTCTACACACATAAATTCAAACATGTAGAGGAAATTGACAAATTTCTGGAAACACACAATCCCCCAAGACTCAATCAGGAAGAAATAAAACTCCTGAATAGACCAATAACAAGTAGAACAATTGAAGCAGGAATAAAAAATCTCCCAATGAAAAAAAAGCCCTGGACGAGATGGATTCACGGCTGAATTTTACCGGACCTACAAAGAAGAGCTGGTATCCATACTGCAGAAATTATTCTATAGCATGTAGAAAGAGGGAATCCTCCCCAACTCATTTTTTGAAGCCAGTATCACCTTAATACCAAATCCAGGAAGGGACACAATGAAAAAAGAAAACTACAAACAAATATCCCTTATGAACATAGATGCAAAAATCCTCAATAAAATATTAGCAAACCAAATTCAATAGCACGTCAAAAAAATAATCCACCATGACCAAGTGGGCTTCATCTATGGATGCAAGAATGGTTCAACATATGTAAATCAATAAATAAATTCATGACATAAACAGAAGCAAAAACAAAGACCACATGATCATTTCAATAGATGCAGAAAAAGCATTCAACAAAATTTAGTACCCTTTCATGATAAAAACCCTCAATAAACTAGGAATAGAAGGAAAATATCTCCAGATTATAAAATCATATATGACAACCCACAGCCAACGTCATACTGAATGGGGAAAATGGAAAGCATTCCCACTAAGAACTGGAACAACACAAGGGTTCCCACTGTTACCACTTCTATTCAACATAGTGCTGGAAGTCCTAGCCAGAAAAATAAAGAAAAGAAAGAAAGAAATTATATCCAAATTAGGAAAGAGGAGGTCAAACTACCACTTTTTGCTGATGATATGATCTTACAACACCAAAGACTCCACCAACAGACTCCTGGAATTGATAAATAAATTCAGCAAAGTCTTGGGTTATAAAATCAATGCACACAGATTGGTAGCATTCCTACACACCAACAAAAATCAAGCTGAGAGTCAAATCAAAGACTCAATATTGTTCACTACTACAATAGGTATAATTTATGCATAACGGAAATACAGGAAGGAGAGAAAAATGGGAAAATTAAAGAAGAAAGATTTTTTTAAATAATGACTAAGAATTTTCCTTAAATTAATGTCAGACACCAAACCACAGATCCAGAAAGATCAGAGAACACCAACCAGGATAAAGGGGGAGATACCCTAAAACCTCAGTATATCATATTCAACCTACAGAATTATAGAGGAGCATACATAAGAATTACATCTGACTTCTCAGAAACCATGCAAATAAGAAGAGAATGGAGTGAAATGTTTAGTGTTAAGGGAAGAAAATAACACCAACCATTTTCTTATTAAGTCCAACAATGTATGCAATACATTATACTTCATGACCAAGTGGGATTTATCCCAGGTATAAAAGGCTCGTTCAATATTCAAAAGTCAATTACTATAATCTATCACATCAACAGGCTAAATAAAAAAATCATTATAAATGCAGAGAAAGCATTTTCATAACCCAACATCCATGGTAAAAAAAACAAAACAAAAAAAAAAAAAAACTCTCAGTAAACAAGGAATAACAAGAAACTTTCTCAACTTGATAAAGAACATCTACAAAAACCTACAGTTAACATCACACTTAATGCTGAGAAACTTGAAGCTCCCTTTTAAGATAAGAAACAAAGCAAGAATATCCCTTCTCACCACTTTTTTTCACTGTCATACTAAAAGTTCTAGCTAATGCAATAAGAAAAGAAAAGGGAATAAAACACACACAGATTGGGAAGAAAGAAATAAAACTGTCTTTGTATACAGGTGACATGATCATCTAGAAAAACTGAAGGAATTGACAAACAAAACTCCTGGAACTAAAAAGTGATTATAATAATGTTACAGAACACAAGTTTAACATAAAAAAGTCAATCACTTTCTTATATACCAGCAATGAACAACTGGGATATGAAATTTAAAAATAGTGAGCACTCAAAAGAATGAAGTACATAGGTATACATTTAACTAAATATATACAAGATCCATATGAGGAAAACTACAAAACTGATGAAAGAAATCAAAGAACTAAATGTATGTACAGGTATTCCATGTTCATGGATAGAAAGACTCAATATTGTCAAGATGTCAGTTTTTCCCAACTTGATCTATACTTTGAATGCAATCTCAATCAAACTCTCAGCAATTATTTTATGAATATCAGCATACTATTTCTAAAGTTTATAGGTAGAGGCAAAAGATCCAGAAGAGCCAATATATTATTGAAGAAAAAGAACAAAACCAGAGGACTGACAGTACCTAACTTCAGAACTTACTATAAATTTTTAATAATTAAGAGAATGTGGTATTGGCAAAAAAATAGGCAAATAGATCAATAGAACAGAATAGAGAGCCCAGAGATAGACTCACATAAATAAAGTAAACTGATCTTTGACAACAAATGAGCAAAGACAATACAGTGTGGCAAAGCTAGCTTTTTCAACATGATGCTGAAACAACTGAACATGCAACATGCAAAAAAACGAATCTAGGCACAGGCACTACACCTTTCACAAAATGAACTCAAACTGTATCACAAACCAGACTGTAAAACTATAAAACTTCTAGAAGATAACACAGAAGAAACTCTAGATTATCTTGGGCTTGGCAATGACTTTTTATCTAAAATACCACTTTGTATCTCAGTGCCAAAAGCACAATCCATGAAATAGAGAATTGATAAACTGGACTTCATTAAAATTAAACACTTATTATCTGTGAAAGATACTGTCAAAAGAATGAGAAGACAGCCACAGACAGGAAGAAAATATTTAAAAAGACATTTTGAATAAAGGACTGTTATTCAACATATACAAATAACTCTTAAAACTCAACAATAAGAAAACAGACACTCCCGCTAAAAAATGGACCAAAGAACTTAATAGACATCTCACCAAAGAAGATACACAGATGGCAAATATGCATGTGAAAAGATGCTGCACATCATATGTCATCAGGGAAATGTATGTTAAAACAACAATGGTTACCACTATGTACTTACTTATTTAAATGGCCAAAATCCAGAACACTGACAACACCAAATGTTGACAAGGATGTGAAGCAACAGGCACTCTTATTCATTGCTGCTGGGAATGCAAAATAGCATAGCCACTTTGGAAGACAGTTTGTCAGTTTCTTAGAAAACATACTCTTACCATACATTCTAGCAATCACTATTCTTAGTGTTTGCCCAAAGGACCCAAAAATTTATGTCCACTAAAATCTACACACAGATGTTTATAGAAGGTTTGTTTGTAATTGTCAAAACTCAGCAGCAACCAAGGTATCCTTCTGTAGGTGAATGGATAAATAAAATGTGGTACATCCAGACAATGGAAATTCTTGAGCACTAAAATGAAATGAGCTATCAAGCCAAGAAAAGTCATGGAAGAATCTTAGATGCATGTAACTAAGTGAAAGAAGCCAACCTGAAAAGATTACATACTGTATGATTCCCACTATAAGACGTTGTATAAAAAGCAAAACCATGAAGACAGTAATAGGATCAGTGGTTGCCAGGTGTCGACGGGAGGGAAGGAAGAACAGGTGCTGCACAGAGAATTTTTAGAGCAGTGAAACTACTCTGATGCTATAATAGTGAATATGTCATTGTACATTTGTCCAAACTCATAGAATGTACAACAAAACTGAACCCTAATATAAACTATGGACTTTGAGTGATAATGGTGTGTGTTCATCAATTGCAACAAATGTACCGCTCTGTAGGGCTGCAGAGGGGACGCTGATGATGGAGGAAACTGTGCATGTGTGGGGACAGCAGGTATATGATGAATCTCTGCACCTTCTGCTCAATTCCACTAAAACTACCCTTAAAAAGTCTACTTAAAAAAAATCCAGCATCTTAGAATGAAACAAAATAATTGCTAAAGTCACTATCCATATTAGTAAAAATAAACCAATAAAGATTTTTTTAAAAGCAGCACTGAGACTGTATGTTTGCACAGGAAAGTAAATGAAGCTTCGAGGGTAATTTAAGTCTTAAGAAGTGCAGGAAGAGTTCATGGGAAGGGACTGGTGTCTGGCAGCATCCTCCCTCTCTGTTTCTTAATCACTCTACCTCCACGGAGGACTCCTAATGACATAGCCTAATAGCCAAGACTACACAAATTCCATTTTTACACTTTCTTGTTTTAAAGAAGAAACAAAGATGTGCACAGAAAAACCAATTTAGATATAAAGACTTTATCACATAAGTATGAGAAATGTCCATGACCTTAAGGTGGCAAAGCATGATCCACAACTTCTCTCCTTCCAGATGGTCCCTGGCGTCTTTTCTGGAGAATGCACGCTTACCCCTGCTCCCATCTCAACCTCAGAGGAGGGTTCACCACCTTTTTTGACACAGTGTCCAACATTCAGGTGCTTTCCAGCATGTACTAGGAATTGGTTTGAAGACAGAAAATTGCTGTTCAGTGTCTTTCTGGTGATATGAATGAAAAGAACAAGTTTTTCAAGGATTGATACTTACCCTGTGAACCATTTCTTGTGTAAACTGCCTCACTCCTGTCCGGGAATGACCAGAAACAATTTCAGTTCCCATTTTCATGGGAAACAGAAATTCCAGAGTTACTGCTGAACCTCACACACATACTACAAAGGAACATCTCCTACACTTTAATTTGCATAGCAAAAATGTCTGTCATACAAAGCATGCTTATCACACACCAACCGCACTTCCAAAGAGCAGCCTCAGCACTTCTGCTGCAGCCCTGAGGGGCCCTGTATCCCACATCCTTTTATTCGTATTATCCTTGCACTGTGAGGCCAACGCCTTCCGCCCCCTAAATACAAAACCTTGCCAATCACATTCCCACACGCTGCCCCATCTCCCCACTTGAAGAGATGGCAGAAGCCCAACGTTTCTAGGTTTATCGTAACCCTAGCAGATGTGCAGCATTGCTGAGGTGGAAGAGCCAAAGCCAGTTTCTCTCCCAAAACGCCAACTTTGAAACGTGGAATGCTTTAAGGAGGGCATAAGAGAATGAAGGAAATGAAACCATCTTGAAGCTTGGCCACCGCGGCGGCCTTTCATTCATTTCACATAGAGTGAGTTGTGAGGCATGGCACTTCCTCTAAGACAGGACGTCTGTGGGAGTCAGTCGACAGCCTCTGGTGGGAAGGAGAAGAAGTGTTTCAAGAATCGCAGTTGTCCTGCAGTGACTATGCACTGAGCCTAAACATTGCCTTCCCTGACGCCAGAACAGATGGCCCTCCCCCCAGCCACTGCTGTCAAAATCCTGTCCTCCCCTCCTTCCCTGGGGATCCCTCCAAATCCCCACACCCAGAGAAAAGCACTCCCCATGCTCAGCTTTCATAGCATTTTGTATGTCTCATGATGTTTTAAATATTCAGTGTGCATTATAAATGTGTAATTTTTAATCCCCTTACTACATGGTAAAAAGGCAGGAACATTTTTTTCATCTCCACAGGGCCTAGTGCTATACCCTGACCTAGTAGGAACTCAGTAGGTATTTGCCATACTAAATGGAGATGATCTGCCACTATCACCAGTATGTTGCTAAGATTAATGTTTATTTTTATTATTCTAATATATTGGAAAGCCTCAAAAAGAGATACTCTAATCAGTTTCAATGAAAAATATACTTGTTAGGATTCAATTTGAGCTTTCATGCTTTTTCTGGAAAAAAGATTATTTAGTTCAAAAACCTAGTACTTAAGCATTTCCTTAGGACAATCACTGGATGTAAGCAGAAATATGTAATATGAAAAAGCAACACTTGAATTAACAAGTAACCGTGGCAGAATAGAGTGCTTTTCTTTTTCTGCCACTGAAATGTGCATGCTGCCCTTTTGGAGGGTGGTTGTGTAACATACCACTGAAATCCTACCTGCTCCGTCTCAAAAATGGTGTGGAGCCTACTTACCAACTCCAGGTCTTATCTTTCTCCTTCTATCTCATCCTAAAAATTGCCCAGTCATTTTCATCAGACTTTCCTTCCGTGGACTCCTCTTCTAGCCTGGCACTGCAGACAGGTGCAGCCAACAAGTGTGCCAAGGGGCAGGAGCCAGATCCGGGAAATTAGAGTTAGAGAATGACGCACAGACACACGACACCTGGGCTGACTGCAGTTATCAGAATCGTCGAGTTGTCAAAATAGTTCATTTTACAATCATTATCCAGATTAACTAGTGATGGTGACAATCTTTGGTTTGTGATTCTTTAACCTAGTTTATTATGGGATGCAAAGTTGAAATCACAACTGAAAAACGTTAGAGAGAGTTGCATGTTCTCTTCAAAAACACAGAGCCGTAGACACTTCACCAGCAAGTGATCCCAGCAGGGCAATAGAGAAATGAGTGGCAAGATTACACAAGATCAGCTTCTGATGTTCTCATCTTTCCTGCCGGGGCCTTAATTCTGAATTCTGATTCAGTAGGCCTGGGGACCTGGGATCTGGTTCAATCTCTTGGTTGTACAGATGAAGAAAAGAGATCCAGGCATCACACACACCCTGGGAGCCTGAAGAGCCAGCGCACCTGAAACAGTGAGGGAAGCCAGGGCTGCTGGGCAGAGCATCTGGGAGACAGCAGGAAGCCAGGAATGCTGTGCCTCAGTCACCGTCTCTACTGCAGGGCAGCAGCACATGCACCAGGGCAGGGGTTCTCCAAGTGTGGACCTGGACCGGACCAGCAACATGAGCACCCCTTGGAATGTGTTAGAAAAGCAAATTCTTGGTCTCTGCTCCAGATTTACTGAATCACACATTCTGGAGGTGGAGCCCAGAAATCTGTGTTTTATTAACAAATCCTCCAGGTGTTTCTGATGCAAGCCAAAGCCCAAGACCCCTGCAACAAGAGATAATCCTGTGATCATTTATATTGCATTTTGGAAAAGCTCAACTTTGCTCCCGAATATGGGTATAGCTCGTGTTCTGGAAACTCACTGAAAACCTCACTGCCAATACATTGTGTCAAGGTCAGACTTAGGAGAATTTGAGAAATGACTCCACTTTCCTATGCCGAGTAAGTGATCAGTTCTAACAATTTCTGGAAATGGACAATGCAGCTGAGATCCCTGCACTGAGACCTGCCATGGGGTACCATTGTCTACATCATTATCACTGCCAACGTTTACATAATGCTTACTATATGCCAAGGACTCTTGTTAGAATTTTATAAATATTTAACCACTTAATCTTCACACACACACATCATGAGGTTAGCATTATATTTGTATTCTTCCCCATTTTAGAGATAAGGAAACTGAGGCAAAGAGAGATTAAGTGATCTTTCAATAATCCCACCATTCCTGAAGGTCAAAGCAGGATTTTGAACCCAAGTAGACTGACCTCTGAACCCTCTATTCATGAACTCTGCACAAGAGAGGCACCCTAGTTAGTGGTTGAGGCCACCTGCTTTGCAGCCAGGCTGTTTGGATTTGAATCCAATTGCATATCTATTACTAGTAGCAGTCAACCATTAACTAGTCTCCTGGCCTCTAGTCTCACCCTTTCCGGGAAATCCATCCTCCAAATGCTAAAAATAATTCTCTCTCATATGCAAATGTTCTTATGATTATCCTCCTTAAAATTTTTCCATTATTCCCCTCCCTATAAGATAAAATCTAAACATACCATGACATTCAAAAGAAGTATCTGGATACTCATCCCGTTTCCTTCTCAGTGTACTGAGCCACAGCCATCCCAAACAGGTTACTCTTCCTTGAGTAAGCCAGCCTGTACTTCCTTGCCTGAAACTCCCTACCATCTGAACATCTTCTTATTTGAAAAATTTCCATTTACTTTTAGTTTTGGCTAAATTACTGCTTCTTCTGGAAAAGCCTTCCCTGGGTCTCCTGCCTTAAGCCTGTATAGGGCTTAAGGCATCCTTTTCTTTCTGCTTCCATTGGTCACACATCCATCATAGTGGTTATTATATTGTGTTAGAATTGTGTGCCTGTCTTTCCTGTAGCCTATGTGTCTTTGAGAGCAGAAGCTGTCATTTCATCTTTGCTATGGCCCCAGTGCATATCACAGATGCAAATAAGGACTGGTTAAATGAATGGATGAGATGAACAGGGGACGGGGAGCCAGTCATTTCAGGGAAAATTCAAAGGTAACTAGCGAAGAAACTGACGTAGTAGTGAAGTGATTATAGTTGGTGTGAGATTATGCTCTAGGAATCCAACATATAAACAATGCAGGCACCCTAGGCACAGGGCTGAACTTGATGAGCATCATTTCCTGACATGACTTCACTGAAATATCTTCAATGGGGCATCCAATCCCAAGAATCGCTTACTGGAAAATAAATGTCTTTACCTATCCAAAGATGTCTTAGTACTCTATATGGCACAAATTTTTGAAAGTCCCAATAGGATTCTCCCCTCATGGCTGTGGAAAAGGGTTCTCCTGGTGGAGGTTTAGCTCCCAGCTGCAAGGAGGAGAGCTAAGATGGCCGTCCACAGAGACCATGTGAAGGAGCCCGTGGCGGCTATGGCTGGAGTAAAGGAAAGATCTGGAACTGCTCTGAAGACACGAAAAGCCCAGACTTAAGACTTTAACCGTCAAACACCTGTGTCTTAAACTAAAAGACTTTTTCTTAAACCTAAATTTTCCTTTTGTTAAGAATAACATGAAACTATCAAAATATGTCTAATGTTTCATTATACTAGCTTGCATGGTTTAATAGTGCATCTAACAGTGCTTGCCTGGTGTTCACTTGAGTTCAATCTCTTTGCTGCTGATTTTCATATAATATTACTTATATTTAGTGCTTATTTATCCCAAATAATTTTTAGTGACATATATGATGTCATAACATATATAACATGTACGTATATATAAACTATAGAATATATGTGTGTGTGTATATAAGAGAGATATCAATATATCAAGGAAGAGTGAAATGGCATTTAAACTGGAAAAACAAATCCTCGTGGCACACTGCTTTAATGAAAACTGTCCATATTAAAGCCTTCACAACTTTTTTTCAAAAGATCACTCTGGAAAGTCACAGCCAGCTCAAAGTTGTTTCTGGAATGAAATTCTCTAGATTTGAGTTTCTGATCATTGTTTAAGATTTGCCAGATGATAAAGGAGAAAAGCATTCCCAAGAGAGAATGATCTTTGGCCTTTGGGCACATTCCTGGAGATTCTGAAAGACACTAATTATTAAAATGTAATGCAACCACAATTCTAAATGTAAGGTGAAACGCATCCTTACAGTTTAAAAGCAGCGATGGTATCAAGAAACACGTTAAACCCCTGCTCTCTGTTGTCCTTTTCAGAACACTCGGCCCCAGCCCTTCATGGGCTACGCTTTGGTTAGACAGACACGTACGTGCACACAGAGACACGGCTGAACAAGGAAGGCAGGCTCCCCCGAGCATTTCAGAGCTGGTACAAACCAAAGTGGTGCTTCAAGCTTCTGGAGTAGGATGATATCAAATACTGAATGCAAAGGCCCTTATGGAAAAAACAAACAAGCAACAGGAGAGAGAGAGAAGAGGAAGAGGAGGGAGAGGAGGGGAAGTTTTAAAGGAAGTACAATGTGGAAGAGAGAGAGGCGTGACAGGAAAGGAGTATGCAGAGCGCAAAGGCCCAGAGACAAAACCGTATGTTCTCACCTCAGGGGCTTCGCCCATGCTGTTCCCTTTGCCTGGAGTGCTTCCCCCAGATGTGCGTGTGGCTCACCTTTCTTCACTTCTTCAGGTCTTTACCCAAAACCACCCTCTCCGTGGGGCCTTTGCAGGCTGCCTTGTCTAAAATCTCAAGGCTTGCCATCCCCTAAAATCTCCTATCACCTTTTCCCACTACAGAGTTTCTCTTCAATACTTATCACTATCTACTCTTTATATTTTAATTATTTATCTTCTTTACTTTTTCTTTTTATTCCACTAGAATGTAAACTCCATAGAGCAGGAAATGTTGCCTGTTTTGTTTACTACTGGATTCCCCAAACCCAGAACAGTCCCTGGCACAGAGTGTAAGTGCTCAATAAATATTTGTTGAATAAATAAGTAAGTTGTATGGAGGACAAAGGAGTTGAAGAACAGGCTATTATTAAAATGTCAAGTTGACAAAAATAGAAGTTTTACATGAGAGAGCCAGGTTCACGAGTTTGGGCAGACAATTCGGGGACAATGTGGGGAGAACCTGGAACATCCTGCCAAGGACTCAAAAATAAAAAGCAGGAGAATCTGAAGGGTCGTCTAGTCTAATCTCTCGTTTCTAGGCAGCTCCACGCCTATGCCATCCCAGACAAAACGAGTTATTCAGCTTCCTATTTACACAAACTTCATTGCATGTTTCTTAAAGGTTGTGGCAAACATCACAAAGCTCAAATTTCCAGACTGGCCACTCCGTTTTCAGCCTCAGAGGGCAAAAGTCCCATCTTTGCAGAGCTGAGTCACTAAATTCCCTCTTGATGTTTCAGAAGATTGGACCAAGATGTAACTTTCACAAACTCTGTTGGAAAAGCTGGAAAGGGACAGGTGAATAGCTAGGTTGAATATGCATTTTTTTTCTGTTCTAAACTCAGGGAGAAAGAGCTCCCTAAACCTACAAGAGGCTCCTAGCTCATAGGCATTCACCACTACAATTGTGCTTACCAAGAGAAAAAATTCTAAGTAGTCAGGACCTTGGATGACAAGTATTCACTACCTGTTTGTGTGCCCTAGGCAGGGCCCTAAACCCCACCTGCACTCATTTCCAGTATTTCTTCCCTGTCTAGACGGGAAGAAGAGTAATAAGAAGACCAGAGACATGATATACATCAAATACTCTATGTGGAAAGGAATTGGGCTTCCAGGCAGTTGTCACTCTACGCTGAATGCCGCTTGTGTATAGGGCATTCACAGGTGCAAGTACCCCTTGGCAATACAAGTCGCAACACCCACCAGCACGTAATCTAAAAAAGCAAAGGTGGAACAAAAGGAAATGACATGAGAAAGGGGTGGTGGATGAAGCAGGAACAGAGAGACATCAGGTCAATCACAAACTGCACAAAGTAAGCATTCAATGTTTGCTTCCAGAATTGAATTATTTGGTGAAAGCTTAATTTGTTTTTAAGGAACATTTACTTCTATTTAGTAGGTTTAAATGTGTCTTCATATAACTGGCAATAAGCTATTGCACCAACTAGCAAAAACAAATTCCTGGCTGTATGCTCTGATTGATGAGATGAAAACACATTCCTAATTAGCATTTGAAATTCTTGGGTAAAATAGTGAACAAGCTGTGATAAAAACAAAAAAAATTCAAATACAAGCAAATTACCTCCTTTTTTTATTCCCTCTTTTAAGTAAGGCAGGAAGATAACTTTCTATTTCT